AATAATAGTAAATAATTCAAATCCAAATTTGATAGATTTTTCAAACCATAATGTGCGTGGGTGTCAATGCTATGTGATTTTATAGTATTGCAGCAGGGGGCAGCATCCTAAATTTTTTGGAATTTAACCCAAATAGTAATTCCAGCGATAATAAGAGCATATCCACCGGATGCTTCAAATGCCCAAAATAGATAAATTTTAGTTAATCAAAGTCAAAAACAGCATTTTAACAGATAATGTTCATATGCTGTAAAATAAATTTTTGTTACAGTGATGCTCTAAATATAGAGCATCACTGTAGCAATATGTAAACATAATATATATTATTTTCTCCCTCGTCTCTTCTATTCTCTCTTTTTCTCCCTTTCCCTATTCCCAAAAAATATAATGCAAAAGGGATAATAAATAGTTGAAGTGTAAATTGAAAAAATAAGTAGTTAAAATAGAAAAAATTATTTTTTGGGTAGCTAAAATAGCCTACTATTGTTGGAGATGCTCTAAGAAAGACAAGTTATAAATTCAGATGTTTTAAATTCAAATCTTGGTAATCTTTTGGGGCCAAATCATAAGAGATTTATTGTTCATGAATACTCTAGTTTCAGCGTGAATAATCTATCTTTGACCGGACTGAAAAAATAGATTAATGAAAATGCGCGTAAACTAATTTGAACACTCTCAACGTTAAACCAAAAAAAAGAATAGAATTTCAAATGCACATACCCTAATTTTTTAAAAATTATATAGTTACCCCCACTACAAATCCACCCCTTATATATCGAGATATCTTATGTCTCAACAGTATACATGCATATTAACAAAAACAGGTAACATGGCATGGCAAAAACAAGAACTTGAAAACGATGGAGGAATCTTCCTTAACAACCTAATGTTGTAATCTGGTTGGTGGACGGTTTGATTTGTATCTTCTTTTTTTTTTGGGTCCATCCGTATTATTATTATTTGGTGGGGATAACTGGCATGTGATTACTAGCCCCACCCTAGGCCCGTGTTCATGCAAGTTGTGGAACATACAAGTGCATACTCACGTGGCCTAGCCAAAGGCTATACGATGATATTGTGAATCCAAAAAAATGTTATTTGGATTTAAAATATTGATTTGATTAATCATAATCAGTGAATAAATGTGGAAACTCATAATTAAATTAATGATAATGATTAATTAAACCAACAAATCAATCAACATTTTATGTTTAATTAGATCCGAATAGCATTAGTCTTACGTTTTTCATGTTTTTGCAAGTTTATTGTGGACGGAAATGACGTATTTTTGTGACCAGTAAGACTATTCCATTGTAATCTTAGTCCAAGGAGTTGGAAGACAAACTTGTTCACATGTAGGAATAAGACTAGGTATATTAGATCATCATCTCTAGACAAGTGATTCCCCCCCCCCAAACAAAAAAAATATCCCTAAAACAACACCACGAGGTGAATACAACGCAGCATACCTCAAACAGCTCTAGTACATCTCCTCTCTCAACCAATTAAGAAACATGTACAATAATTCGACAACACCTTAACTTGTTACCAATTCATGTTCCAAAAACAATGAAAAAATAAGGTCTTGTTTGGTTTATAATTCAAAAATTGTTTTATATTTTTTGAAAATAATTTTTGAAAAAAAAGTTGTTTGGCCAGTTCTTTTTTGTTTTTATTAACTGAAAAGAAAAACTAGGTAAATTTAGAAAACAAAATAATTTTTTTTTTGTATTTTTAAAAATAACATTTCCATAATTTAGAACATAGCACCACCATACTCCCACTACCACCCATCACCACCACACTTCTATCACCATTCCACCAACTCCACTAGCACCAGCCTCAGCACCAACACACTTCCACCACCACTTCCGCCACTAACCCCATCATTGTCACACTCCCACCACCGTTTCACCAACACCAACATCACCACCACATTTTTATTTTCATTGTTTGTTGGTTTACTATTTAAACAAGTTTTAATGGTTTATATTCCGTATAATTATTTTTGGAATTATATAATTAAACAAGTTTTGTGACACAAAAAATACTAAAAATAATTTTTGATTACTGTTTTTTAACACATAATCCAAAAAGGCCCTAAAATGTTTAAAGAACAAATATTATGGCGTTCTAATAGTCGCAAATCAAACAAAAACTTAAAGAGCGAAATTAAGGCATTTTGCTCTTTCAAACCAAAAAAAAATTAGATATTGAACTTAGGGGATTTCTATGCTACTTTAAAAAAAATTAAAAAAAAAATTGGTATCCTACCCAAAGTTACTACTTTTTAATGCCAAAAATTACATTTTAAAACTGAAGTTATAACTATTAGAGATAATTTATGATCGATCATAAATACTTCTTACTCAATTGTAATTTCACATTTAAAAAAGTTGAACTTAACTTTTAAAAGTTGTAAACCTTCAAAAAATTATAACTTAACTTTAAAAAATTATAAATTTGACCGCAATACTTTGCTCTTCCTCTTCAACTTACAGTGTGAGCTAAAACTTTCAGAGTTAGATTACATCTAACTACTTGAAAGGACCTGAAGAGAGACAGGCGAATAATACTTGAACTTCCAGCAAGTTTGAGACGACTGAAGAGAGATTGTATGGCCCCCCTATGTTGTAGTTTGAAAGTCCACAGAAACAAATGATATCCCATCTTTAACTCAGCTGGCTCTGGCTAACTATTGTTGTCTTAATATACTTGGTTGGCCCAACCAACTAGCTAGTGTCGATGATTAGACTCATTAAGTTCCATCAAGTGCCTCAATCCTAATTTTTTCGATTAGTATTTTGAATAAACGTGACTTAAACAATAGAGACAATCTATTGAGGAATAGATGAGCAACGAGGCGATCACATCTTCCTTCAACAATAAACTCTAATTTCAAAGTTCACATAAACAATTTGATCGTTTGTTGATGATATCATTCTCGTCATGCAACTATCTACTCAAGTCTAAATCACTCCAATAACGAAACAAATCTTTAAAACTTACACTGTCATCTTCTTTGGTGACTTTTATTTCTTTTAGGGAGGGATCATAGAGGCATTTTCAAAAAAAGTGCATTGAAAGTTTATCAGTCACATTCTCAAGTCCTATCACTAAGTTATTTAAACTTTGTTGACTATGTGTGTTTATGTGCCAGGGCCACAGATTAGCATGTGCCTATGCTATCTTTCCTAATTTGATGAATAGGTTTATGGGCCCCAAAAGCCCCACTTGTGAGCTTAAGGGGGTCATGCTAGTGCATTTCACATGGAATCATCAGTTGTCACTAAAGTCTTGGAATGGGGTCTTAGTTGATTAACATTGATATAATATCTTATAAGATACAAGAAATTAAGAATTCAAAACTTATCGTTAACAATGAAAGAATAGTCAACTCAACATGCATGGTAGATCCTTCTTGATTTCTTGTGGTGATTGTAAACGTTTGAAACCTTCCTTTGCAACTAGGACTCTGCATACCCTACGGACAACGTATTACAAGTGAGATTGATTAAAGTTAAAAAAGTCTCGTGTATAATGATTAACGAATAACTGCACACTAAATTTGTCGTGCTCATTCGAATGTTATGATGTCTAAAACTGAGAAGTGTGAGATGGAGGGATTGAAGAGCTCTTCTATGGTGGCGAATGAGTGAAGCGTATGTGTGTGCGCATAGAATTTTATTGTTACACTCTAATAGAATTTATGTGAGGGACTCAAAAATTGATTCATCAAGGTAAAGAGCTAGTTTAGTCCACTCTAATAAAATCACTTGCTCTCTCCAGTTTATACTACTTAGAGAAGAAAAAGATCATAACTCTCTGTAAATACAATTGATCATCTATCTGTACAAGACAAAATTTTGTTTATTTATACACTAAGGTAGTGTAGTCTTCATTGTCATGATTAGGTGGTTCCCCAAGTCAGTAAGAATATTTTCGAAATCCTTAACCGTTAGAGGCTACTCTTCCCTTAGGCACGATAGGCCACTTGGTGGTCAGGTTTGTTTTTTGTCTTCCCAATGAAGGGTTACTGTTTAGATTTCTTTATTGCCCTTCCTGAATATCATTGAGCTCCTTGTCACATATAATGAGCCTTTTTTTATTGGGCCGACCAGGCCCAACTAGGGTAGCCACTTTCTTCATTGTTGTGCTGGGCTTGTCTTTGGATACTAGTCTTGTTTGGGCTGGGCTTTCTTTTTTATCCAGTACATCAAGATGAAAAGGTTTAAAAAGAAAATAATAAAGAAGAAAATGTGCATCAAATAGACTTTTCCAAATCTCCTAATAAAGTGTAGCCTTGTGCCACCAAAAAAAGGGGTGTGGCTGGTGGGCTCATGGACGAACCTTTTGGGCCTTTTCTTCAGTCAACGTTCCAGTTAAGATGCACTAGCACTACAGCACAACACAATGATCAATGATCACACTCGTTCTGTCAAATAAAGCTAAAGGCATACACACCCATCATCATCAAACGACTGCCACTTTTTCCACATTGCGGGTGAAAGCATATTCTTGTTAATGAGTAACTACTGCTCATAATCGAGTCGAATTATTTAAATTTGACTCATATAAGATTGATTTTGAACTCAACTCAAAATGAATTAAGTCAATGCGTACAAATAAACAAACTAGACTCATCTTTTTATGTTGAGATCGCAAGTCTGTCTATAATTAATAGTCTAGGTGGTGTTGAAGCCGGCTCATTCATGTTATTCATCTTAAAACTATGAGTCATAACAATGTTCACCAACTCTTCTATAGTCATCTAAGTTCATTTCGAACACTACTCATTTTCTTAAAATTTAAATTATAATCAAGTTAATTCATCTTAACAACTTGTTAAATGAGATGGTTGTCCAGATGTCGAATATAGAGAACATGAAGTCAATTGTACACAATACAATCAATCCTAACTTTCCATATGCAAAAAAAAAAAAAAAACTTGATTTTTCTCTCAAGTGTATTTGAAATTTCTTCAATTAGTCAATTTATTTAAAGAAAACTCGCTGCTGCGATACAACACATCTAACACAATCACTCCAAAAATAGACAAAATAAAAACAAACATTTTATAGTTTCTCATTTGAATACCTTCTTCCAGTTTGAACTCGGGACGACTCGGTTGAGTTACATTTTTTTTTTTTTTTTTTATCAGAGTTGATTTGCAATTCATCTTTGCCATCTCCTTAACCAAAAAATAAAAACAAAATAATAATAATAATAACCAAAAAACAAACATCACAACGGATTCAACAAAGATAAGAGTAAAAGATTGTAACTCACTAACTCACCCAAAATATTAAAAATAGTTAGTTCAAGAAACACCCGAGTCGACTCACATCACTCGCTCCAGCACTTGTTCCTTAAAAGACTGATTCATCGGAAAGCCCATTAAGCAAAGGTCGAGATTCACCCAAACTATCATACCCAACAAGGCGGCATCTTTGAAAGTCCTCCAGACTATTGAACCGATCCGAGATGACCGACTCGGGTCCTGACATGAATCGGAGTATCTCTTCGAACTCCGATTCATCACAAGGTATAGCTAAAGGTCCTGGATTGGTGAACCCGTACTCTTTCTCAGCTTGAACTAAGAGTTTCTTGAAGATGGGGTGGTTCAGGTACGTCGCTCGAACTACAAACCTTTTGCAATTGGTCCCCACGTAGATTGGTACCTGTCCCGGAGCCACATCGGACGGTACGCTTACGCCGGTGAAGCGGGAGGTTGATGATGACGCAGCTTTTTTGCGCCACTGTCGTAGCATTTGCCGGATTCTGACTATGTGCCTGATTTTATTGCATTTTCCTACCGTTGGCGACATTTTAGGCGCAGAAGCAGGCAGCGTAGAACATAGAGTGGAGAGAGAGAGAGAGAGATTATGTATGCGTTTCAAACGTAGCCAAGGTCATGTGGGAGGCAGATCAATAAGAGGATTAGTCCTGATGTGGGGTTAGAATTAGATTACTAATAAAAGCTTCAATTCAATCTCTTGACGGGGTTGGGTTGATGGTGATGGGGTCGTTAAAGGTGTTTTTTTCCTTGGCATAAGTGGGGTACAACTCATAAAATCATACCGTATTTTTTGGGTGTTAATCAAATAAAAGTAACGGGACTATCCTCCGTCGGATTGTTTCGGGTGTGTTTACTTATAAGTCTTTCTTGACCTTGAGTCTATAGAGTCGATGGTTAGGATTTGATCAAAAAAATCGTAACCTCTTAAAGAGAGCGTTCGGTGTTAGGCTAGAATCTCACACTTTGGACTAGAGACTTTGCTGTAATAGTAATTACGCGAGTGTGTCGGGGACTGGGCTATTCCACATCGGATAACTTCAAGTGTGTGTATGCGCGCTTATAAGTTTTTCCTCCTGGCCCCGACTCTATAGAGTCATTGCTTAGAATTTGATCAAAAAAATAAAAGTAATGAAACTTAAACATACTCAAATTTAACTCGATTATGATTGATCCGATTAGAGTCAAACTCAATTTTCTCATATTACAACAGGGTTCTATTTATTATTATTCTTTAATGGTATGTAAGGCCTTCAATACTTTGAATTTTTCAATCCTTACATTTGAAAAAATAATAGTTATTAAAAAATAATAGATGGTCATTATTTTCTTTAAATTTAGAAATAAGATGCATTATATTTTAATTCATTTAACTCTTTCAAAGTTTGCAACAACTCTTACTTTAGGTTGTGTTTAGTTAACGATAGAATGCATGAACAAAACAAAATTGCATAAATGTTTTAACTAAGCATGAAAAACAAGACACTTGGTTCTCCTTCTACTCCATTAACAAAGCCAAAGTATGTTCAATAGAGCAGATGAAAAAGGCAATCGACCAAAATAGGGAACCACTAGAAAGTTGATCGATTCGACTGATAACAATTTTAAGCAGGATGTTTATACTGAGCAAAAATGTGAAAAACATAGTAAATGATACACCAAACAAACTAGAATCCGAATGGAACTCTAATTCCACAAAACATAAGATAAGGATAAAATCAATTCGAACATAAGATAACTAGACTGTCATTAAAGACCAGAGGTGGCCAAGAAGAACGAATACAAAATATGCTTATTCAAAAGTTCATATTATTAACATGTGACCTAAAAACCAATTAATGATAATAGAAGCTTAAGAAGACTAAACAAAAATTATAAACTGTTGGGACTGAAATCTAGGTGTGCCACCATATTATAACTAGGATTCAAAGTTCTATTTAATCAAGACTAATTCTTATAATATCGGATAATCTTAAGTCTAATGTACACACATATACACCCTTTATTTAGTGAATTATATATATTTTGTGAAACTCTTACTGATTTAAATATAGGAATACCTACAATCCGGTACCTCACCAATGTCTGACAGTTTGTTCATTTTTCAAATTAGAGACGATCTTAAGTATTTAGCCCCAAAAAAACTCTTTATCCCCACCATGTGCAATTTTCTCCCGATGAAGTAATAAAATAAAACATAACTACAAACCAACAATCTTCTAAATAAAAATCCAAGGACTTAACGAGTGAGTTTAGAATGAGAAAAATGTTATTTTGATTAAATTTGTTGACCTAATGTATCATAATCATTGAATTAGTAATGAACCCCAACTAATAGTAAAACACATTGTCAATTCAATGATTAAAATTAATTATATCAATAAATAAATAAATAAGATTCAAGTAACATTATTATTAAAAATGTTATTTACCAAAAATATGTGAGAAACAACTCATTTTCCAATGTGAAGGAACCAAAATAAAACCAAACTTGACTAGAACTCGAGCAAATCGATTCATTTAACACTCGAATAGCAACACACATTGAATCATTAGGATTTATGAACGAGGTTGAGGAATATTACAGCAAACTTGGGTGGTCTGGGCAAGCCATAGCGGTCTGGAAAGTCCAGAAAAATGGCATAAAAAGAGTCCAAGGAAGCCCAAACGAATTGGCCCAACCAAAAGAGGGCCCAATCCAAGTATAGTCTCAATTCTGTGAACGGGTTGGGTGAAAAATTAAAACCCAAACTAGTTGGCCTCTGAAAACAGAGCGCAATTAAAAGGATATAACTAGAAGCCCATAAGAGTTGGCCCAAGGAACTTTTAATTCTTTATATCCATAGATTACAGAAAGCGTAATGAAATGACCAGAATACTCGTAGACGTAGGAAGTGGATATTCTGAGAAATCTCCATCTTATTCTTCTTTCTTCCTTGTACTCTCTCTCTCAAATTTCACACACTCCCTCCAATTAAGAACAAGAACCACGCAAGAGAGAGAAAAGGATTCTCTAATGCCGCACCCACTGATTCGCAGCCTCCACTATCCTCTACCAATCATCACGCTATGTTCGATTCCGACAAGCAAAGAATTAACGCCGTTGATCCACTCCAAGTCCACCGTCACTTTTCTGAGTCGGCCACAGCAGATAAATACTACTAGTACTAGCGGTAGAAGCGCGATGATAAGGTGTATGGCGAACCCTAGGAGGGTGAAAATGGTGGCAAAGCAGATAATGAGAGAGCTTTCCGACATGCTTTTAACTGACAAGATTTTGCAGTACGCTGTCCTTCCCGAAGCAGCCCTCGGCGCCGATCGATACCTTTCTTCTCTTACTACAATCAGCGATGTCGAAGTCTCCACTGATTTACAGGTAATAGGTAGTAATGAACATACATTCTTCACGCTTACATACATAGTGTGTATTTTGCTCTTTTTTCCCCTAATTCAATTTGGCCATGGATACGGTGAATTTCATCTTCAGGGAATGGTATAGGCATTAAGTTGCCATTGATACGACAAATTTTGTGTTCATAGAATGGTATAGGCATTAAATTTGGAACTTTTATCCCGGGTCACTCCTGAAAAATCTGTTTGTCGTAGTATCAAGTGGAATATGATGGATCACTTGGCTAGGAAATTCAGTAATGACCTTTGAGGGCCATGAAATTTTCTGCCGGAGTTATGGGTATAATGAGATGTGCTGATGTGCATTTACCAATATCATAATTTGGAAAGTAGCCGGTAAGGGAATTTGAATTCATCCTGTGGAAGAATCTCCACTTGGTTGTTTTATTGTTATGGGAATTTTGAAAAGAAATCTGTGATATCTTAATAGTTGTGATTTGGATGAACTTGAGGTTTTGGTTCCTCAGGAGCACTTTTTTTTTCTCCTATTTTTATAGGTTGTTAAAGTATATGTATCTGTTTTTGGTGATGAAAGAGGAAAGGAGGTTGCCCTTTCTGGGTTGAAGTCAAAAGCTAAGTATGTTCGAACTGAGTTAGGTAGGCGTATGAAGTTGCGGCTGACTCCTGAGATACGTTTTATAGAAGATGAGTCTCTAGAGCGAGGAAGCAGGGTAAGAAATTATTGTATGTTGTTTTTCTTTGTTGCTTTTATATTTCATGTTCTAAAACCAATATAATTATGGTATTGACGAACTGATGGTATGGTATTTAAGCATTTCCCTCTTTGACATTTATTTAGTAATGTTAGTCTAACAAAATTTCTATACCAAAATTTTCATATCAAATTATATGGTATCTTCAACACGGTTAGAAGCTAATGGGCTCAACTTATCTGATGATGATGAATATGTCATATTATTTGGTGTAAATTTGGTGACTCTTCTTTGTCCCAATTCTTGTGGGACTGCTGGTATGACACTCATAGGGCATGACTAACCAATCCTCCATATGATGTCTTCTCGGAGATCACTCTCAGGACTTCTAAGAATGCTCATGCATTGTTTTTAGGCCTTTATATATCTTTCAAGCTATTTCCCTCGATTTCTGATTGCTCTTTCTGTTTTTCCCAAGAATAGGGTGACCTCTATTTGTATTTTTATCTCACATTGATCTGTTGATTAAAAACCCTTTTCAGGTTATTGGTATACTTGATAAAATAAAGAATGAGAGTGAGAGAAATATTTCAGAAACGCAAGGTGATGACCAACACGAGTCTTCTATTTTAACTAATGGTGATGAGGACTGGGAGGGTGATGGCCCTGATGATGAAGGCATTATTTACGTGAAGTAGTTCCTCACCTAGTTGTTCAGCTCTAACCATGTCTGAATTTGAGTATGGCCTTGCTTCTTCACGGTTAGTCCTTTATCCTCTATGAAGTTTACTTCATTCCAGAGTTGGCAAGGTACTTGTTAATTACATTGTGCTTTTGGATGCATATCCATGCTCTTTTTATTTTGGTTGATAGGTAGACACCCAATGAAGCTTTGCTAAATTACATTGTCTCAAATATTTCACAAATTACACTGACCTCCCTTGATTCTTCTTTGCATTGATAAGATTCCCTCCTTCCGTCCAACAAGCGATAATGGCGTTTGCTGAAAATGCTGATGTTAATTGTTCTTAAGAATTCCAATTTTTTCCTTCTTTGGTCAATCTTCAACAAGTGAAATGCACAATAATAATGAATCAACTCAACTAGCCACAAAACTTCAAAATCAACCTTAAGGAAGTTAATTTCGGTATTGAAGAATAGATTCATATATGGTTATTGAATATATTAACCAGTGGGTATGACCCCATGTGGCCGGTGTTTGGGAGTTGTAATAGATTGAAATTTGGCTACTAGACTACTATTTATGCATGTATTTTCTGTCTGGCCTCAAGAATCTTTTTGTTGCGTAGACATATGGTATATTCATAGATGAAGATAAAAACGTTGAAGCAGGGAGAGTTTTGTCATGATGGTGATATTCGATGGACCGCAATCGCTTTTTTCTACCCGATCTTTTGAAAGTCAGCCAATTTCATGTAGATGTTTGTCCGAACTTGTGATTTAATTGCAACATACAACTCATAATGGTTATTTTAGGTTCGAGCTCTTCTAAGCCTTAACGCCCAACAACCCCATCTACAAAATTATCAACTGAAACCACACTGCTATTGATATCCTTTAAGCTTGCCCCGCTGATCACTTTCGTTTTCACCAAGCCAATCAAATATATATGTTGTGCTCTTACCCAATCTTTGGCATTTTTCCTCAACTTTACTGATCTTTCTAAAAATCAGTGTTGGGGGTGGTAATTTGATTATTATTTTGTTAATAGACCATTATCTATGCATGCATTTTTGGCCTGAAATCTTCAATCTTTTGCTGCTTATAATATAAGTAGACATTGAAAGGAATCATATAATAAACGCAGCGGAATTTAAAAAATAATATTAATAATTTGATTTCTCATACCAAGATCTATTCATGTTTAATACAAATCTAGAAATCTTAGATCTGTAGTGAAGATTAAAGGTTACCTCTTGAAGCGTGCCTTTAACAATTTTCAAGCATTCTAAAAAACTTTAAATATTCAAATTTGAATTTGATATTTACCCCGAACCTTGTAAATGTTTGGCCTCTATCAGTATATACAAGAATTGATAAACTTGAAGGATCTACCTCAACCATTGATAAACTAGTAGGGAGAGAAAATGAGGAGTGGTTCATCTTGTAATAACAAGAGAGTTGTTATCTTATATCCACCTCCTACATAAGGGTGTGTTTGTTTAGCAAGATAATGCTAGAAAATGCAAGAAAGAGAAAATTTTAAAATTTTACATGTGTTTGTTTAGCATGAAATTAAAAATGACAGAAAAAATAATTTTCTTCCATACTTAGATTTTTTCACATCTAACTAACTTTTTTTTCTTACAAAAAACACAAGAAAAAGCAAGAAAGTTATGTTCAATAACCTAACTTTCCATTTTACCATTATTTTTTTTAAATATTCAATTAGTTTTTAATTTAAAATTTTTTTATACAAATTTGGCTAATCATATAATTTAGTTTAGAGATCAAGGTTCGAATTGATCTTTGTTCCTGAATTAGGTTATGAGCTAATTTTTTTTTAAATTTGAATAATAATAAAAAAAAATTCTTTTTTAGACTGAGTTTAAATAATTAAGGATATTTAGACAATTAAAAAAAATTTCGTATAACTTTTCTTTTTTTTCAAACAATGGAATGAAATTGTTTTAAAATTTTCTTTGAAATTTTTCATGCTAACCAAATACATGCATGAAAATATATTTTCTTCCATTTTCTTTTCTTTTACTTCACTTTCTATCTTTTTAACTTTTCATCATCTTTTTCTTACTAAGTAAACGGACCCTAAAGGTATTTATAGAGTTTTAAAGACTCTAATCCTAGTTTGGGTCAAATTACGATTATCTCATAATTACATTTAACCCATTTATTAACTATTAATTGTAATAAAGTCTCTAATTAACTCTTAATTAGGTTTTCATCGCAATTAACTCTTAATTGGTTGTCTCTTCGTTATCCTTTAGTTTTCAATCAATTCTATTATGTGTGACCCTATAGGTTCAAGCATATCTAGTTATAGACATTTGATACTAACTACAAGTAGCGTTTCAAATTAAAACTCTTTCTAATTTAGTTTGAATTAGAACTCTTTTTAATTTTTCCTTTATGAAGAACAATTAATATATTTATATTAATTTCATTCTTTGGACTACTACTAATCATGAGTGACATCTAGCAGCATATCATGATCAACCTTCAAATAACAAGAAGTAGGTAAAATACTTATTCAATCTACAATTATTATGCAATTCAATCCTTCTATTATACAATGCCCCAATTGAATTATTAGGGTATGAAATTACTGTTAAACTCCTAACTCAATCTTATGTATTCGATTTTAAGACTATGACTCTTAATGATCAATTATAAACTTTTTTTCTAATAATCATTCTGTCTTGGCCAAAAACTCCTTAAGTCATATCCTAGAATATCACATAGGATATTCTCCATTTATTTACTAAGGATGATAGATTTCATGTTGTACACTCATAAGTCTTTATGCATGTCTTACTATGTCCAATACTACATATCCAAGTTACATGGTTAGTATATTAATATATTGTATAGTTAAAGTATAGGAGTCCATGCACAAGGCAACCATGATGTCTCTAATCTAAGGATCAGTTGCATAACTATAACTTCAGGATTTAACTTTGACAAGTATGTAAAACTCCATATGAAAAATCTTTCGTTAATCCATGATCACGTTCAGTGTACTTGTCTCTAACAAGCACTCACACACTTGCTTTAGTGTCCCTACACTCATGACTTGAACGAATCATCTCACAAATATGAGTAAATATAGTGTATGCTAGTCTATCTGAATTACATAGTGCCCACATAGTAATCCTATGCTTAGGAACATTTAAGAGTTAAGTACTAAGAAGTATATATTTCCTCTCCTCAACTCTTTGAGAAACTATCTTCTTAATTTATACGCTATGGACTATATCATGTATATTAAAACGAAATAAAGTAGAAACATGATAAATAAACTTATCTTTTTATTTAATTAAGTAATGAATGTTGCTAGTACAACCTCAAAACATCATCTATATAATTGGTCCTAGAGCATATTCCTAACGGACATAAGAGAAACGAGAGAGAGAGAGAGAGAATTTTGATTTGGTTAGAGTTCTGTTAACCAGCTCCGATAAGAAGGTCATGGTAATTTCTGGAATGCCGAGGGCTCAGACCCACCAATAGCTGAGAGGGCTTCAGTGTGATTTTTTCACACCGGTACTTTCGTAAACAAACTGTGCAACTGGGACTCGAATGAAAACATAGATTTTTCCCATTAAATTGAATGGCATGAATAATCTTCCCCACGTAAGAGGGGTTTTTTATTGGCGATATTGGATGTTTGAATATTACACTTATTTACATTGATCACCGCCTTACTGGGACTAGTTATTGTAGTGCCACTATGCAAACATTAGGAAATGGTGACAGGGTTTCATTTTATGCAGGGGGGGGTGGCTTTCATCATGAACATGGATTGAAGTATATGCTCCAACTCATTGCAGCTAGAGAATTCAACCATTTCAATCTGTCTGAAATCACAAAATTTTGTCTTACTTCTCTCCTGTAATTTCTCATGTTTCCTTCTACATCTCAGTTTTTATGTCCATATTGAAAGCAAATCGTCAGTGACAGAAAGTTGAAAAATCTACATTTCTCTCCAACTGAATGAAGTGACTTGTTAATATTGCCTTCCTTCGGTGAATGGATCGGTTTAGGGGAAAATGGTAATCTCAGTGGGGCCTAATTATTTGGTGAGGACAATAGTATGCATGTATAATACCAATCTTTTTTGTGCCATGGATGAGATATGTAATGCTACTTGCAACTATTTCTGGCCTGGAGTATTGGGTAGTTTGATCACTAGTAATGTGCACTCTGTCGACTTCTTTCCTCATGAATTCTTGTTTGTAACACACCCAGTGTTGTCGCATTTTATCAGTCGGCTTCACCCTCTGTTTTATCTCAACAGACTTCTGTAGCACATGCAATGCATGCACAGATTACAAATCTAAATTGTATTTGAACTATTCTTCCGAAAAAAAAACCTGTTGAATCAATTGACACCAATATATATGTATACGAACAGCTTAAATTTGTTGTTAATGTATATGTGGATCTCTCTATGTATGTTGTTTTTTTTTTTTTTTTTTTTTTGGGGGGGGGGGGGGGTGGGGGGGTTAACAGATTAAGGTTGTGAGTTTTGAGACTAGCAAATCTCTAGACTTTAGAGGGTTTAAAAGGGGGTTATAATGGTAATTGATGAGAGGGATGAATGAATGGATTAGAGGATATTGGCAATTAAACGTAGTGTTTAAGGCTGTCACTAGGTCATGTTGGGTTTAAAGCGTTACTTAAAATTTATTCAATCCACATCTAAAGTTTTTATAATCTTGTCGTGTATAACTAGTTTACAAAACGTGTTCAGCAAGTTAGAGTTTTGTTTAGTTAGATTTGTGTCAATCATTTACTTGATGAGTCTAACATGTTTACCCATTTACAGCCTGAACTTGCTAATACCAAACTCAAATTTTAATTTTGTATCAACTTTCTATCGCATGTGTTGTGTGCAGGATGTCTAAAATTACCTGCCCAACTTGATTACAGACTCATCTTCTTCTGCCATAACAAATAACCAGAAGTGCACATGAAACCACGCAAGCTAACAGCACAA